GCATGAAATACAGTTGACTGGTATTTGAACGTCAATTCTTTATTTTTGCTGAACGTCTTTGGAACGCTCTGCCACAAAGGATCAAAAGCATTCGAAGTACGTTGCGTCGCTTTGCATAACCAATTAATTGCTGATCTGCACGCTCATTCTAATATGGCAAATATTGAAATTACCACTTTATTATTATTAAAAATAAAAGGACAGCTTTAATGTTTTAATAAAATGATATAATTATATTTGAACAAATGAATAAATAAATAAAGCTATATTAAACTCCTAGTCTTGCGTCCACGTCGCGCACCTTGAAAACGTGAGCAACCTTTGTGCATAATGCAATAACCAATCAGTGTGAAGCCTTGGGGCAAAAAGAGATCATTTTTCAGTGCATCCACTCCGACGCAAAGGGTCACCAGAATTGCGGCTGTTTTTGAAACCCTCCACATAAAAGCTGGCATCACCGCCGTACAAAAAATGCGATGAACGAGAGTAAAGAAGAGTTGTCTCCTTGTGGCATTTACCACAGCAGCCATACAAATCTGGTGTCGGATTCGTGGTGGGAACGAGACTCCGACACCAAATTTTGGCATTCACCACCATGGAAGAACGTCGCGCCACAATCCACATCATAACAAAATTTTTTAACATATTTATGCATATTGCGCCCTTGTTCCTTAAAGTTTTTTTAATTTGCTGAAGTTCTTGTATGTTCAAATCTATATATATTTTCCAAGAAATCAGGCAATTGACCTCTGAACGGCTGATGATTTTTTATGAGTAGCCTTTTTCATGTCAAAAATTCACTCGCATAGGTTGATATTCCCTGCCGAGGGGCGACCGCGTTTAGAAAATTGAAATCTAGTTTCAGTAAAAACAAGGTGATAAATGCAAAGAAGCGTAGCTTTTGATGCCGAGGTAAATGCATTAAAAGAGAACAGATTTGGAGCTTTATGTGAGAAAGAGCCAAAGTGAGTTTTCACAGTCGCAAATACCAACCTTCAATTACCAACTTGCCGGAGCATAGCTCTAACTTACTCGTATCACACTTGGCCAAATTTCTAATAATAATAATAGTAATAAGCCCATCCGCATAACGTACGGAATAAAATTGTTCAGATCAGGAAAAAAAATATTCAACAGCTTAATTTTAGCAGTTGAAAGAATTTTAAAATTGAATTTTTGAGATAAGCAAGAAAAGTTTTGTTGCTAAAAAGTGGGTCTGAGAGATCGAAGGTGCTGCAATGAAAATAAAAATTGTGGCAAAATCGGCGAAATGGTTTATTCAATTCATAATTTGTTTTACATGACTTTAGTAGGAAAGGCCTACACTGCCTAGATATACCAAGTTTACCTCAGAGAAGTACCATGAACCGCAAATTGATCCGTTAATAATGTTACGACTTGCGAGAACAAGTAGATTTAGAAGTTTTAAACGGTTGGTATCGGGAGGAAGATTTATCGTAAAGTTCCATCGGAAATGTTTTAATGCAGAAACGAAAAACAGACTCCAACTTGTTAATTGGGGTCCCATATCAATGAATCACATCTTAATATTGGTCTCACTAAAGTCGTATAAAGTGTTTTGTTACATAAGGATCTTTACATCAAATTTAAAATCTTACCAAAGGGGTTAGGAACTAAATTACTTTGATGGAGGCACAAGTCGGACAGTTCTTCCAAGAACTCATTTATAAAACTGCATGAATATAGATATGTCCGACTGAAGAGGTATGTAAGATAGCGCCATATATGTATAGCTACTAGCCGAAAGCACTCGTATGCATTTAAATTCCATGAAATTTAAACCAAGAACAACAAGTTCTTCCGGAGGAATTGAAGAGTGAGCGGCGAGTATAATCCCGAGTATAACCGATCAGTTTCATAAATTTCAAGCTCAATATATAAAATTTCATAATCAAAAACATCAGGTTTAAGCCATGTATCGGTCAATGATATAATGTTAAAATTACAATGTAGAATATTTAGACTGCTATTAATACCTCGAACGATTTGATAATATGAACTTATAGAGAGATTTTTGTTTAACTTTTTGACTCCCCGTTTTTGTGAGCAAATTTAGCAATGCTTTCTTCCTAGATCTTTTGCTCGCGAATTTCATCATAAGAGGTCTTTGGCCAGAGGCCAAAATGTACTTTCGAGAAGTTATTAAAGAATTCATATGAAGTATCGATTTTTTACGAATAAATATTTCTTTCATATTTAGAGTTAAACTTTCTAACTGTTACGGCATCACATTAAAATTTTGTAGTGATGTAAGACTTTAGCTCTTCGCTGATGGTATCTTTTGTAAATCAAGAAATAAAAACCGATTTTTTTGGGGGAACAACAACCAGTTTTTGTAAAATGGCTACTGGTGGGAGTAACCAAATAAGTACCACATTGAAGCTCAGGAACGTTAGTCAGCCCTTTAGACGTTGAACTTTTCTGTTAAGGTGGATAGTTCCACACATTTTTCACTAAACCTATTATTCTACCAGTCAAGCCAGCATACTTTTGATGATACAGCTCAACACAAGGCTATTAAGCGACGAGCAAAAAAAACCATAAAATAAAAGAATATGTAAAAAATAATATTATTAGTTCAAGGACTAAGTACCAACAGTGAATATTAATTAAATAAATATGTAAACAAATATACAAAATTATAAGAAAGAATGATGTTGTGAGATTCTGCGTTGGATTTCAAGGCTGGCATTACTATTGATGTTATTGCTGGTTCCTAGATAGACAAAATTATCTCTCCTTCAGCACTGCACACAATAAGGACTGACCCTGCGCATGGTAGTATTTCGTCAATGACTTACCTCGTCTAAAACCACAAAGACAAGGTCCAATTAATTTGCTGACGGTAGTCTTCCATACGATTCGCTCGACAGGACCTTATAGGCGATATTAAAGAGACTAATCCCACGATTATTGGCGCCGACTGTGGGGTCCCCTTTTTTATGCATTGGGCAGAGCACACTTAATTCCAACCGTCGGGCATAACTTCATCCGACTATACTCTACAAAGTAGCAGATGAATGCATCTTGTCAGCCCTTCGCCGACATGTTTGAATAGTTCTGTCGGTCAGTTTCAGGAGCTTGGTTGCTTTTTAAACTAGCGATTGCTATTCGAACTTCTTCGTGGTTTGGGATCCGGGTTCTCCAACGCTTTCACTGCTATTCAGCAGGTTGGAGAAGTGCTCCCTTCAAAAATTCAATATACTCTGGCCATCGGTGGCTAGATCACCTCTTTGTGTACTACAGGAGTCTGGTCTTTAAGCCTTCCGTAAGTCGTCGTACCTTTTCATAGAATTTTCGCACATTACCCTTTTCGGCTAGCTTTTCAAACTCTTCATACTCACGGCTCTCAGCCTCTTCCTATTTTGCCTGCAGATGCATCTTGCTTCCCACTCCAGCTCTCGGTATATAGCCTATTTTGTACGTGTTGTGGTTTATGGCAAGGTTTTTTCCTAACGCGACAAGCTTTCGTATATTTGCTGCAACAAGATAGTTGCCCGAGTCAATGTTGGGTCCTTGGAGTGGACGCACGTCAATAACACTGGAGATATGTTTCCCGTCTATCACTTTATGGTCGATCTGGTTTTGCGTTTTTCGATCAGGCGGCAGCCGAGCAACTTGATGAATGCCAGTACTCGACGACGGAGTACATTTCCCACCACATATTTGATACGAATTTTGCGTTCCTTTTATTGCCTTTATTATTACTAGGGCAGCGACACCTTTTCAATTAAGGGGTTGGACATGATCCGTGGCGTCGTCATATTTTAAGCTGGTTTCTACGTGCCGGGTTCCAAACCAGGCACACAACCTTGCGAGGCGAGTAAGTTTAACATTTTTACACATTTATATAGCAAGCCACTTACTTCGATACTGACGCCCACTTGCAGCGGCACCTTTGGTATACAGACGCTACAGTTAGAGCTCAGCGAACTCTTTAACTTCTTAAGCTAAACTGAAGCTTAATCTATCATTAGTCGTGACCCAAAGCTCAACACAGGTTGGTGACTGCATCTTCAACAAGAGATGCACACGTTTCTGGGTATGCGACCTGGGCGCAGGAGTTGAAATTAAGTATAGCTTTGCAACTGTAACTGCATACCCAGAAGCGCTTGACTAGGCTGTGTTACAGTCCGAGTCAAATCAACATTCAAAATTATAGCAAATAAATTTTTGAAATTGAGGACGCAGGTAATATAAGCCCTCCGAGTGACACGAAATAGGAGCTCTTCTTCAAAATTCTTCATCAATTCAGAGACGGATTGGAATAACCTGTAGGTATATCCATTTGTTGGAAATCATTTAGACTCATACCACTAATTGGAGTAGGAGCTCGGGTCAAAGTCGCGTTTGCGCTTACAAAGCAAATAATATATATCATATATATCTCTCTTCCTCCTGGAACTGGAGTTAGTGTACAATTTCATTGGCTGGACGGTTTAAAAAGCAATGGGCGCCTTGTGCCATATGTTTTTTTCGTATATTTTCATAATAGTAAAACAAAACTATTTTTTTTTATGTTCAAGAAAATACTTAAGGAAAATTTTAGACAAAGTTTTGTTATCCAAAAAGAAATTTACTGTGACATTCGTGTAAGAAATTGATATATTTTAACGCAGGTGTCGTTTATACAGCTTCAATTTTATTCTCGAATTATTATGGCGCCTTTTTTACGTTCACACTGTTGGCGCTGAAACTACTTTATGTAAACCGAGCTTATTGTATTTACTTATGGTCAAGTTTGACAGCTAACAAACAGTGCTGCCAAACCTGACATGGTAGCTTCTTCCCTTCTATTAAATATTCTAAAACGAATCGGACGTGTTTTTTTTATTTATCCGCATCAATCCGCTTCTTTATTCGCTATCGCAAATAAACGCTAACATTGCTGGTCCTTCGAGCCGGATATCGCGATATTTCTACAATTATATTCACTCCGCATTAAATTCAAGTTAAATAAAAATTCTCCACAAAATAATATGTCCTCGCTTAAAGTTCGCGACTCCGCGTTAAAAGCAATCAAACGCTATTTGTGCTCAAGTAAAGGTGACGCGCTCTCGGTCGACGTGGAAATTGTGTCCAACTATTTACAATTGTTGGAGGAGCAATGGGCACGATTCTGTGGCGCCCAACAAGAAGTGGAGCTGTCATGTGGTGAAGATAATCTCGAAATGGAAGAGGATTCACGAATTCAAGGAGAGGAGTGGTACACCATCGCTAAGGCAAATTTCAAACGCCTTATTACTCCGCCTACAATACCATTTTCTCGAACTACAACTACTACGTCAGCGTCTTTGCCACTTCCAAAACTACAATTGCCAATATTTAGTGGAGATCCGACAGAATGGCTCACATTTCATGACGCATTCTGTTCGCTCGTCAATGCTAATGCAAGTCTGTCGGACGGACAGAAACTCCAATATCTGCGTAATTGTCTAAAGGGGGAAGCACTAGAGCTGGTGAGTAGCTTAGCGGTGAGTGACAAAAACTACGGTGAGGCCTGGGAACTGCTGACGTCACGTTACAAGGTCATGTGTATCATAGTAGACAGTCATATAAAAGCTTTAAAGTCTGTTGAAAAAGTGACAAAGGACTCCGCCAAGTCCATCAAGCACGTGCTTGCAGCATGTGGGTGCGCTACGTGCACTTGAGCGGCCGGTTGAGTTTTGGGATGACTGGCTCATTCACTTAACAGTTTCTAAATTAGCTTATGAGACTCGCAAGCAATGGGAATTATCTCTGGTTGATGATAATCTGCCGGCATTTTCCATGCTTCACGATTTTCTCGAAACTCGCGCTCGTTCTTTGGAGATGGTGCCCATAGCCTTCAACAACACGAAACCAACGGTCAAAAATGTATTGCATACTGCGCATAACCAGTCTAATTTAGAAAGTAATGGGTCGCTTGATGGTGTTAAAGCTTCGGCGTGCACATACTGTAAAGGTGGGCATAAAATATATAATTGTTTGAAATTCGATCAGCTTGACGCAGGAGCCAAGCTAGCAGCTATCAAGGAAGAAGGTGCCTGCATTAACTGCCTCAGCAAAGGGCATGCCCTTGTGAAATGTTGCAGTTTATCATCATGTCGCATATGCCAACGCCGTCATCACACAGTCAACCTACCGAACCCGCTAATATATCTTCATACTACGCCGAGTCTGAACGTGTGATTTTACTCGCAACCGCTGAAGTATTACTGAAAGATTACGCTGGCCGCTGGCAACCTGCTCGTGCTCTTCTTGACAACGGTTCGCATGCTTCCTTCATCACTGAAGCTTGCGTACAACGCCTCCACCTTCCAAGAATATCATCGTCAATTCGTGTCACAGGTATTGGGTCGATTGAAGGAGGTCACGCAAAAGGAGAAGTAAAGGTATGCGTATCTTCGCGGTCTTTAGATTCAACATTTCAAGCGAGTGCACTGATTTTATCAAAAATTACTAACGATCTTCCGCCTACCGCTCTGACCAATACGCTCTGGCCCCATATTCGTAATTTACCGCTGGCTGATCCAAACTTTTCCAAGTCCGGACCGATAGATGTCTTGATCGGTATGGACGAAATGGAGAAAGTTTTATTAAATGGTCTGAGAAAAGGACAAAATGGCACGCCGATGGCTCAAAACACCACGCTTGGTTGGGTATTGTTTGGAAACACCAATCCATCAAAACGACAACCTACTGTTTCAACGCTCTACTGTGACGCGCATCTGACTGAACTACTTACTAAGGTTTGGGAACTTGATGAACCACCATCCAGAAAGCTGTACACGCCTGAAGAGTTATACTGTGAGAAGCTGTTCGATGAAACTACGCAGCGCGCGGAAGACGGTCGCTTTATAGTACGTTTGCCAATCAAAGAGGATATTCCAATTGGGGAATCTCGAAACGCAGCAGTTCGTGCATTACTACGCATGGAACGACAGTTCAACACTGACAAGAATCTTCACGACGAATACAAGAAGTTTATGAAGGAATTAATTGACTTGGGTCACATGGAAGCTGCTGATTCGACAACGAAAACCGTATACTACATGCCGCATCACGCAGTCGTGAAAGACACTAGTGCCACAACGAAGCTTAGAGTTGTGTTCAACGCTTCTATGAAGACATCGTCCGGGAAACCATTGAACGATGCCCTTATGGTAGGCCCTCAACTGCAGCAAGACCTTTTCTCGATTTTGGTTCGCTTTCGCACTCATCGCTACGGCCTCATTGCTGACATCGAAAAGATGTATCGGCAGGTCCACGTTGCTGAACAGGACGTCGATTATCAACGCATAGTATGGCGTGAGCATTCATCAGAGCCTATATGTGACTATCGTCTTTTAAGGGTCACTTATGGAGTAGCATCCGCCTCACATCTCGCCGTGAAATCCTTACATCGTGCAGCGCAGCAAGTGACTGGTGTTAACCGTAATATCGAAAAGGTGGTCACATCAGATTTCTACATGGACGATTTGCTGACCGGATCAGAATCCCTTCAAGACCTAATTAACACGCAACGAGACATCTCACACGTGCTATCTCAGAGTGGTTTTGAGCTACGAAAGTGGGCGACGAATTTCCAACCATTAAGAGAACAAATACCTCACGCGTCTACTCAAACTGCTCACCTTTTGGCGGACGGGAATGACATTAGAACTCTGGGATGTATTTGGCATACAGATCATGATTCGCTATCAATCGCATTTAATTTAGAAGATCTGCCCAACAAGTTGACGAAGAGAATTTTCCTCTCCGATTCCAGCAAGATTTTCGACCCGCTTGGACTCATCGCCCCCTGCACTATTCGCTCAAAAATATGGTTGCAGATGATTTGGCGCTCGAATGTGGATTGGGACGAGTTGGTTCCGCCTAAAGTTGCGGCTGACTGGTTAACATATAGGCGTGAACTGCAGCTACTCTCAAAGCTCAAGATGAGTCGCTGGCTTGGTATGTGCTCGAGTGCTGACGAGGAATTCCACGTCTTCACTGACGCATCGGAGGCTGCTTATGCTGCCGCTATTTATTGCCGTACTAAAACAGATAAAGACGAGGTGAAAGTTGTGTTGATCGCTGCGAAAACTAGGGTAGCGCCTCTAAAAACGACGTCGCTACCTCGTTTGGAACTTTGTGCGGCTCATTTAGGTGCAAGGTTAGTTCGCCAAATACAAACAAGTTTTGGCCATAAACTCGAAAATCTGTATGCGTGGACCGACTCCATGATAACGCTGGCGTGGTTGCAAGGAATGCCGAGCCGGTGGTCAGTATTTGTGGCAAATCGTGTTGCGGATGTACAAGAGGTCCTACCGGCATCAAAATGGAGACATGTCGTTTCTGAGCTTAATCCCGCAGATTGTGCGTCGCGGGGCATAAATCCCTCACAGTTAATCACTCATCCGTTGTGGTGGACGGGACCGAACTGGCTTCGTAAAACTGATCGCTTTTGGTGTAAACCTTCAGTTCAACATAATACGGACCTCGAGCAAAAACCTGGCAAGACGACATCGCATGTAACGCATACCGTTGATGAGTGGAGTTTGTTAACTAGATTTCATTCCTACAACAAACTCAAACGAATTACCGCATATGTGATTCGTTTCATTCATAACTTACGGTTATCTTCTCGGCAACATAACGGAACAACGCGATTATTGGGTCATTTAACCACCGACGAAATCCGGGAGGCTGAGGTTAAATTGGTGAGGTATTCTCAAACTAATGCATTTGCACCAGAAATTTCTAATTGCAGATTAAGTAAGCCTATACCTATGCGCAGTAGTCTCGTTCGTCTTCAACCGTTCCTAGATGCCGAAGGCATTCTCCGAGTTGGTGGTCGCATCAAGAACGCTTCGTGCTCCAATGATGTTCGACACCCGATGATATTACCGAAAAGATCGTCCCTCGCAAGGTTAATCGCTGCTGAACTCCACATTACCATGTTACACGCTGGTCCTCAAATGATTCAAGCCGCAATGCAGCGCCGTTTTTGGGTTCCTGGTATTCGAAGCCTCGTCCGAGGAATTTATCGTCACTGCGTTCGATGTAAACGACTGAATCGAAACTCTCAACAACAACAAATGTCCGATCTACCACGGAGTCGAGTTACAAGTACGCGATGCTTTTTACATAGTGCGGTCGACTTTGCTGGCCCGTACAATCTGAAGTTTACACATGGACGAGGCGCAAAGTCTACAAAATCGTATATATGTTCTTTCATATGTATGAGCACAGGCGCCATGCACTTGGAGTTGACTGGAGATCTCTCCACGATCAGCTTTATCGCTGCCTTTAAACGCTTCATTAGTCGCCGAGGATATTGCCAGCACCTCTATTCCGACAATGGCACCAACTTCATCGGGGCCGAAAGGGAGTTGCGCGCTGCCTTTGAACGTTGCATCAATGATGACAAGCTTAAGAATTACTTCGTCGGTACTGAAACCACTTGGCATTTTAACCCTCCAAGCGCTCCGCATATGGGTGGATATTGGGAGGCCGGTATAAAGCGTATCAAATATCATCTCAAGCGCGCTTTAGCTTCTGTTCTTCTTACATACGAAGAATTTTCGACAGTTTTAACTGAGGTCGAAGCTTGCGTAAATTCTCGACCTCTCTGTTATCTACCCTCTGACGTCAATGACTGTGAGGTGTTAACACCTGGCCATTTCATCGTAGGAGAACCATTGAAAGGTATACCTGATCCAGAAATGCAAGTTTTTAAAGGAACGCTCCACGAACGCTGGCAAATCATATCAGCTATAAGACAGCATTTTTGGAAGAGATGGCGTGACGAGTATCTCGCGAATCTACAGCGGCGTGCAAAGTGGTTTCGTCCTACCCAAAATCTACAAGGAGGGGATATAGTAGTCATACACGACAACAATGCGCCTCCCACTAAGTGGAAACTTGGTCGAGTACTCGACAGTCACCCCGGTGTAGATGGGTGTGTGCGTGTTGTCAACTTGAAAACATCCGAAGGAGAGTTACTACGACCCATCGTGAAATTATCGTTGTTACCGACGAAGGGAGACATTTTTACTATTTAAGTATTTTGCATTAAATTTATTGTAACATTTTGAATAATTTTTGAACAGTTGTTCAAGGCGGCCGGCATGTTGGCGCTGAAACTACTTTATGTAAACCGAGCTTATTGTATTTACTTATGGTCAAGTTTGGCAGCACTGTTTGTTAGCTGTCAAACCTGACAT